AAAAAACAAACAAACAAACAAACAAACTTTCAAATGTATTATGCGTTAACTCTAATCCTATCTTCCTAACTTTCTCGTTCAATTATCCAAATTAACCACTGTGTTCGTAATTTAATCGTCTTTAGAAACTATTTATACACTGTATAGCTTATTCCCCCGTTAAGATCTCTTATAAGCTAGTTTATTAATTACAGGGTACTCTGTATACCTTATAAAATTTTCTACTTAATTTACTATGACCCTAAATTTGTATTAATTACCTTCTCCGGAACTATATTGAACATCATTCGTTGCGTTCTCTTCCTGTTTAAAATATTGCTTCTTTTTCAGGCTGTATAGATTGTTTCTAACTGTTTTTGTACATTTAACTGTGCCGTTTATTTTTCGAAAGTGATTCTATTTAACGTTTTATTTTTTTCTTTCATTTTCAAAGAACTTTTTCCTGTTTTTTCTTTTTAATCGTTTTAGCTTATTACTGTCCAATTTCTTTGTTTTCATTAATCACTCATGAGCAGTGTGAAAAAAGACAACAGTATCTCCGACTGCTAGTTGCTTATCAAAATTTCTACCTTCAAAATGCTTAATCAGTTAACAGCTTGGTCACAGTGTACTTTTCTTTAGGAATTGCCACCCCCCGGTGACTCAGCGGCAAGTCTGAGGGCTAAAAATTGGGTTTTGACACTGCGGGTGGACACAATACAGATAGCCCTTGTGTAGGTTTGTGTTGAACAACAAACTTAAGGAATTCTATAGACTAGGCCCCCCAGTGGCACAGCGGTATGTCTGCGGACTTACAACGCTACAATCCGGGTTTCGATACCCGTGGTGGGCAGAGCACAGATAGCCCATTGTGTAGCTTTGTGCTTAATTACAAATAAAATCTATAGACTAGATATGTTACAAAACTTTTTATCTGTTATAATTTTTCTAATAAATAAACTTACAACAATAAATACTTCTCAGAAGTTTCCTAATTATCAAGGGAAGAAAATAGCCATAGTTGTTGTTGTTGTTCGTTAAATATTCAAATGATTATTGACTTTTTCCTGAATTATTTTGATAATTTCTTTTGTAGATTTTGTTCTGTACGCTCAACACGCACAAAGTCAATATGGACAACCTTCTGGGTGGTCAGATCGGGTTGGAGGACTTTATTTTTGTCCACAGGAAAGGGCAACCGAAAGAAATTGAGGTCACGAAGACTGAAGACGCCTTAGGCTTAACAATCACAGATAATGGTGCAGGCTATGCATTCATTAAAAGAGTGAAAGAAGGAAGTATAATGGACAGACTAAAGTTTGTACACGTAAGTAGCTTGGAAAGAGGGAGCATGCCTTAATTTTATTTGGGTCGATGGATTTTGTCCTCAGTATTTTAGTTGTAGTGAAGTGAAAGTAAACTTATGTAGTTTGTTTTTATTTTGTCCTCTGTATCTTAAGTTGATTCCCATGAACGACTCTAGAAGACTGTTAATCTTTTCTATAGCAGTTGTTGTTACGTCATCAGGCTGTGTTCAATAATTATGCACAGACAAATTTTTAGTTAAATACATATATCTGAACGTTCATTCATACAAGAATATGAAAATGCTACAAGAATTTAGCTAAATTAACTTTAAATATTAAAAAAGCACAAATTAGAGACAATTCTTTGTTTATAAACTTTTTGAAGATATATTATGAAATCATCACAATTTTCAACAACATATAAGTACTCAGATCTACTGTTTAATTGTATCTTCGCTACCACACTCTTGGTGCATTTCAGTGAGAAAATAATCATACACACATTAACCTTTGTCATATCGTATGACTTTAAAAAATATTATCCAAAATATATGCAAATTAAATAAGCATTTGTGGATCCATGATAAATAATGACTTCAATTTGTAAAAACAGAAACTGCTAATAACGTTTTGACGAGAAATACATTTATTTCTTATCGAACGTTTCTTATTATCATATTTCTCTCTATAAAGTATATCTCAAACAGTTAGTAGCATAAAACATAAATTTCAATATTTAAATACTGTATTTACCTTACAATTGCCAGGACAGCGTTACCAGACTTACGTTATACAGAATTAAATATATAGACAAATACAATGACTTACGGCTATTTCCACAGTTGCAGGTCCCTTGGCCCGTAATCTTAAGGTTTCCCTCCCAGAGCCATATTCCCCTTTTTTTCCACATCCCGATCCAGTTCTCGGTCCAATGTGGGCTGTTAACAAGACTCTGAGTGAGCTGTATATCTGTTTATCTATCTGTATCTGTTTTATCCAAAATTCAGTACATAGCCACTGTACACGACAATTATAAAGGTATACTAGACTATTCAACATAAAAATTTTACACACGGATTCTCATAAGATAAATGATATGGAACACATACATTCCATTGTAAAGGACCATAACAACGTGAATACGACTAAAAACATTTAATGGAAACAGCTACTGTGAGAACGTTAACCTCATAAAAGACAAAAAATGTTTGTGAGTATGTTCTGTGTTACTCAGAGGTTGGGAGGGGAGGTACATTAGGTTTCTACAGAGGTTGGGAGGGAGGTACATTAGGTTTCTACAGAGGTTGGGAGGGAAGGTACATTAGGTTTCTACAGAGGTTGGGAGGGGAGGTACATTAGGTTTCTACAGAGGTTGGGAGGGAAGGTACATTAGGTTTCTACAGAGATTGGAAGGGGAGGTACATTAGGTTTTCTACTTTGCAGTGCTGTCAAAATTAACTAAGGTTTTCTTGCTAAATAACTGCTTTTTCGTACATAAAAACAACAACAAATGAAATAGAAAGAGTATGTTTGTTATTAAGCACAAAGCTATAGAATGGGCCATCTGTGCTGTACCCACCGCAAGTATTAAAACCCGATTTTTACCGTTATAAACCCTAAGATTTACCACTGAGCCACCGAGAGAAGGGGAGATAAAAAGAAACAATGCGAGTTTAAAGAAAGGATCGTAGTTGTTAGGATGATGAGTGACATGTATTGTTCTAAGTTATTACTTGACCTGCTGGTAACACTGCATTTCGTAAATATCGCTTATGTTGTATTGATATTCTAAAGCCAACAGACTATAAAGTTCTAGAAGGTAAGCTGACAGTAATAGAATACAGTTCGTGAATATATAAATGATATTATTTTTATATTAATGATTAAAGAAAATAAAGCAAAGATATCAATCCTCCCAACAGGCCACGAAGTGTTCCCCTTCCAAATCTCGATGTGGTACTCTTAAATGTTAGTAATGGGTAGATTATCAAACACTACTGCGAATAATGGGAAGATACAAGTGCCATGTAGGTCACTTATCAAAACTAACATTTTGGGATTCTAATTAACTATAATATGTTAAAATATGATAATACAGCATTACACTCAGCGTCTACGAAAATATGTTCTTCCTAGGTCCCCTCTGTTGAACAAAAAGATCATACTTACAAAACCCTGCTTTAAGAGGTTCAACGAGTCGAAGTGTGAACGTTGAGCCTTTTTCAATTTCTTTAAGAGCTTTAGCAACTTCGAAATGTCTACATCCAACCAACGTTTTTCCGTTAATTTTTTCTATATGATCGCCTACCTGAGAACAGATGAAAAATACATTACTGGTTTCTATCTCTGAAAGTTGAAATAGCCACACAATAAACTTTTGTCAGAGCGTTCTAAAGTATTTCAAAACTCCACTGTGATGTACATAAAACCTTAGCAGAAATAGTGAGACATCTTGACTATTCGATACTGAAAGTTATTACTATAAAACAAATTATTAAACACTTAAATGAAATACTTACAACCTTAGTGAGTGACAAAATGTTAACGAGTTTTTTTGGGGTTTTTTCAGTTCTTAGTTAAGGTTAAAATCAAGTCAATCTATAATTCTTGACTACTTCTGTAATGGCAGTGATTATTTCATGAAATGATCAGTTTCAAAGATATGTAAATAAGATTAAGTTATTTGAATCAGAATTTTGATATACGTTTTACTTTTCACAATGTCTGATTTTAAAAATCGACGAAATTCGTACAAGAGAGTTAAACAGTTTCATAAGTCAGACACAAACACATACACAACAATATAAACCATACCAGTCCCCCAGTAAGAATTCGAGTTATATTTACTAGTCACACACACCTAATTTTACTTTTGATATAACGTTGACAATTGTAGCAATGTTAACGTTCTTTTAACTTTTTTCTTCAAAATTTTCACGAGAGAAAAAAAAAAAAAGGTTCAGAAACTAGATCTGCAAGACCCTGGTTTGAACCACTTCTCTGATTAGAACCGGTTCAATAGATACGTTCAGTGAAGAGAAGAGGAAAACTAAATAACAGCTAATGCTCTGAACGTCCAGTAACAGAACCCATAGAGAGAATCAAACCTCATGTTGAACGTGCAAAATCATAGTTCAACTTCTTGAACTTACACAATGAAAAACAAATTGTAGAGAGAAGTCTTAACTCCTAAAAACTAACTAAAGTCTCGAGCACTATAATCTAATATTTTGAATAGTTAAAATAAACATTTAAAATGATAAAAAATCGTGCACTATAGTGTCACAAAAAATAAAGGTGATTAATAAGTACATGTTATGTATCACTAAACAAATTATTTTAAAAAATCAAACTAAACGGTATATTTGATAATGTGGTTAAAAATAAAGCAAAGAAATATAATTGAAGTAAATAAAAACAAACTACATAAGTTTACTTTCACTTCACTACAACTAAGATACAGAGGACAAAATCATTGACAAAATAAAAACAAACTACATAATTTTACTTTCGCTTCACTACAACTAAGATACAGAGGACAAAATGAAAACAAACTACATAAGGTTACTTTCACTTCACTACAACTAAGATACAGAGGACAAAATCATTGACAAAATGAAAACAAACAACATAAGTTTACTTTCGCTTCACTACAACTAAGATACAGAGGACAAAATCATTGATAAAATAAAAACAAACTACTAAAAGTTTACTTTCACTTCACTACAACTAAGATACATAGGACAAAATCATTGACAAAATAAAAACAAACTACATAAGTTTACTTTCGCTTCACTACAACTAAGATACAGAGTACAAAATCATTGACAAAATAAAAACAAACTACATAAGTTTACTTTCGCTTCACTACAACTAAGATACAGAGGACAAAATCATTGACAAAATAAAAACAGACAACATAAGTTTTCTTTCGCTTCACTACAACTAAGATACAGATGACACAATCATTGATAAAATAAAAACAAACTACATGAGTTTACTTTCACTTCACTACAACTAAGATACAGAGGACAAAATAAAACAAACTACATAAGTTTACTTTCACTTCACTACAAGACACAGAACTAGGTAAACAGTTTGTAACATTA